GGTTATATAATCCTAGGAAGAACAAAGGAAAGTCTCCTAAGTTGTCTTCTCCATGGGAAAGTCCATATGACATAGTGGATCATCTCTCAGACGTGACTTTCCGAATAAAATGTGGTCGGCGAGGTAAGCCAGAGGTGGTGCATGCCAACAGGCTTTGGCATTATCACGTTCCAGGACATTTCAGTTGGGATGAAGTGAACAACGGAACAAAAGATGCCGCTGAAGACGTGTTACCTGGAAAAGCCACTGTCGAAGAAGAAACTCTACCCGGCTTTGAGAAGGGAAACAATGAAGCCCTTAATGAAGTTACTACCACTGATGTGACTATTACCGATAATAAGACATTTCCTGATGGAGCAGATGAACCCCACATGAAGCAGAAGCCAACGAGATTCAGACCAGTACGGAAGAAGATACGTCCCGTAAAATTAAGAGACTTTGTTGAATGTTAATTTTGTGTTTGTAAATTATGTACATTTAATCAAGTTATTGTTAATTATCTATTGGTTTCATGTAAGTGGCTATTGTTCGGGACGAACAATACTAAGGAAGGGGCAGTGTTATGACAGCGGAAGTCACACGACGCTGGAAGCATGCATGCTGGAGTTTCTAGAAGGATCATGACTGTTTCTGGCAACTTTAGCCCTCTATTTTTGTATATAAGCCCGGCAAATAAAGCGGAGATAATAATTGCAGAGAGGGAGATATAGAGACAGATAATCGAGTCAAGTCGTAAGAAAAGTACGTGAATCGTTGTGAATTATAGCGTGTGTTTAAGTTAAAGTGACTGTGGAAATTAAGTGTATTGCAAAGTTCTATTGAGAAAGAATAAACTAGTTTTATTTAAAGAAAGACTTGTAGTGCTGAAGTTCTTCGGGAAGAATTTATACTGTTATTAACAAACGACTAGAGACTTAACAATATCATAAAAGGAAAGCAACACAGATTCACTATGGGGAAATCTTCTACTTCTAATCTGTTAACTTTTCGAGGCTATTACATGTTATTTGAATAATGGAAAGGGTGTACTTAGACTTTCGAAAGGGTTAGGTAATAAAAGAACGATAGTGGGAATTGGGTTTCCAGAAATTTAGATTATAGATTGGTTGGAGAGAAAAAAAATATTAATGGAGTCCAGTCAAATTGGAACCTTTTTACAAGAGGAGAGCATTAAGGATCAGTGCTTGGGCCTTTGTTTTTTCTTAATTAGATCAGCAATATTCATAGAGGCATAATTAATATATTAGTAAAATTTGTGTATTACATTAGATTTTTGGGTATTTCTAGCTGCATTGAGGAAGGTCAGGTACTATAGAATGACGTGGATGAATTGGTTAGTTGGACAAATATTTGAATTCCACTCCTCCGAAACTAGTCTTGCTCAAGACACACACACACGCACAATGAAAAAATAGACCATTCCAAGCTTTTACTCGTTGTTAAACAAATGTTTGAACAACTCTATTCAATTATGTACCAGCTGCCCAGTGTTGGCTAACAATACGAAGAATTAAATTGTGGCAGAATGCTACAATTTCTTCAAATACCTATAGAATCATAGGTTTCTTTTTTGTAGTGTAAAACACTTAAATACACCATTTCCATTTTTGATACCTCACTACTATAAATGCTGGGTTTGGTCTGTTATTTCAACTTTTCTCACATTCTATTACACATTCGACAGCTTCGCACTCGCTATGTTAATAAATGTTTTCGTGACTACAATCTCATCTTCTACGATGTTCTCGCCACCACTGTATCCACTGCAAGAAGCATTTTTGCACCAGCTGATCATGTACTGAACCTCTATGTCATGTCCCTCCCAGCTGACAATCCCGACCATGTCGAGATGCCGATGTCCCCTCTTCCCCCATTTATCTATCCTGATTCATAATACCCGATATAATTGTTGCCAGTTCCCACACAGTCTCCATTATATGATATAGACTGATTAGTGTTCACCCATATTTCTCCGGATTGTCTCCTGCATCTGCAAATATCGCCTTTCCCCATCTTCCACCTCCTGTGCTGACTTGCACGCTTACCCATTTATTATTCATTTTACCCATTTTTCTTTTTCGTCCGTACACTAGAGCTCAATTCCCAGTGGACACAGATCTTGGATGTGAGGTACATTTCATGTGCAAACTTGGCTCTGTTTGTAGCGGTTTCAATAGTTTAACATAGTAAGACCCAGTATTAGATTTTAATTATTTTGTTCTCTTAACTTGATGGAGTTAACTACTGATTTGTATTTTGGTGTTACATTTAACTTTCATTTAAAGAAATGGAAGTATTTGGAATTTTTAGTATTTTGTTTAGATTTTAACGTATACTTTGGCTAACTTATGAACTGTGGTTTAAATTTAATCTTTAGTTTTGTTTAAACATAACTTTTGGTTTATTTTAATCTTCTCTACGGTTTAATTTACACTTTAAGCTTAGGATTTAGTTTAAATTACGAGGAGTGGTAGGAAGAGGCTACTGAGTTGATAAGAGATTTTAAATAAAAGTTTGACACTGCTCTTTCATGTCTATATATATATTACTAAATGCTTACTCTTGATATATTTTTGTAACTATATTGTATTGTATTTTAATTGTGTTTTGTTTTTTTTTTGTACAAGCAAACATTCGTGGACTTATGAATCTATCAGTGTCGAGTCTTTTTTTCTAGATGATCCCGGTTGCAGATTGAAAAGATCACAATATTCCGTAATCTTGTATTCCTATAGCCTTCAGTTATCAGGTCATATTTGCATGGGAAATACCACACTGGTTATTTTTTATTTATTTCTATTTTTGAATGACACCATCGTAACTCTTATGTTCTTGGTATAACATAAAAGAAAAGAGAGATTGTGTATCTTATGTATAAGTATCACTTTAAAAGTTTGATGCAAAATATTTTCATTACACTATCAGGTAATTTTAGGTGTTTTTGAAAATTCCAAATATTTAAATACTAAGCATTACGTAAAGTATTTATAAAGTAAATAAAATATGTGCAATGCGGAATTACTTGGCGCAAGATTCTTTGAATGCTTCGAATAAAATTTAGAGAAGACATATTTTAATGACAAAATATAATATTTTAAACATAAGCTATTGCAAGACACTGACTCTCCCCAGTGGCACAGCGGTATGTCTGCGGACTTATAACACTAGAATCCGGGTTTCGATACCCGTGGTAGGCGGAGCACAGATAGCCCATTGTGTAGCTTTATGCTTAATTACAAACAGACACTGAATGGAACAGATGCTGATTATAAAGTCTGTAGATAGCCTGAATGGGAAGTGACAAGCTTATGTCATCATCAGGAATATTTTTATAGTTATTGCAAAATATTATTTAAAAGTTGAAAATGTAGAACTCTTAAAACTATTATCAGTAATGAAAGTAAATTATTTGGTAACATGAGAAACATACAAGCTGCTATATAAATATAGAAGAAGTAAAAATGTGGGAACTGTCCGTGCTCTTCTCACCGCGTGTATCAAAAATTCGATTTGTAGCGTTATAAGGATTTGTAAATTATTATAAATAATGAAAGCAAATTGTGTCTAAAAGTAAAAAAAATAATATTTTTATAGAAATAGGACTAACTACAAAAGGATTTTGAAAGTACTTTACCTACCAGATGCTATTTATATCATAGAAAATATTCTGAGCGAAATAAAGTCTTCCAGTGGGTCAGCGGTAAGTTTATTGACTTAAAACACAAAAATTCGGGGTTCGATTCCACTTGATGAACACAACAGATACGGCCCGGCATGGCCAGGTGGTTAAGGCACTCGACTCGCAATCTGAGGGTCGCGGGTTCGAATCCCTGTCACACCAAACTTGCTCGCCCTTTTAGCCGTGGGGGCGTTATAATGTGACTATCAATCCTACTATTCGTTGGTAAAAGAGTAGCCCAAGAGTTGGCGGTGGGTGGTGATGACTAGCTGCCTTCCCTCTAGTCTTACACTGCTATATTAGGGACAGCTAGCGCAGATAGCTCTAGTGTAGCTTTGCGCGAAATTGAAAAAAAAAACAACAAAAAAAACACTCAACAGATACGATAACGCAAACAAATAAATAAAGCGAAATAAACATACCGTATTTTTATTAAGTGTTTGAAGTTAAACACAAAGTTACACAATGGGCTATCTGTACTTTGCTTATCACGGTTATCGAAACCCGGTTTTTATCGTTGTAAGTCTGCAGACATACAGCTGTGCCACTGGGATGCGTTTAATAGGTGTTTTTAATTACCGATAAAATATTTTCACTAAATATTGTTAATTCACCTGGTGGATAATAAGAGCAACCTTTCTATCGCCCTAAAGGCATGAACACGAGGCTTTCCAAGATGGCTGAGGACAGTGATCTGATGCGGAATGAAGACGATTTATGTTTAGAAGATGCTGAAGATGTAGTTGTTGAAAACGGTTTTGGAGAAGAGCCAAACTTCAGTGATCCAGAGGATTATATAGATGACATTACTGATGATGGTATGTGGATCGTATATTATATTTGGCTTAGTAGATACTACTATGGAAAGTGTAACACTAAACTTAAGTAACATATTGATCATTTGATGCAAAGGTTGAATTATAATATTAATGTTAATTAACGCCATTTGTATCCATAATAACGTTTAAACATAATACCAAATGGCGTGATTATAATACAAGTTTTTAAAATTACCGATCGACTTTACTTACTTAACTTATAATTTTTCTTAATATTTATTTTATTTACAGTTACACTACATTTTGTTACTCACTGTTATTGTTAAGCCAACACAAGTTTTGAACAGATACTGAGTTAGACTAAGGACCATTTAGTTTTTCAAGGCTGTTCTTGAACACTCACTTGCACTCATTCAATAAGCCGATCACCCTGTTAAAAAATAAAACTGTCTTAACTCTTGACAACTGTCATCTGAACTCTTTCCAGTTTTACACTGCCATGCATTCCCACAGCTGTTCTGGTAGCTTTCATGTGATCTCCCATTCACAAAGGGCTATTTTGCTTCATTCACATGAGGCATTGTTGTCAATTTCATAGAATTGATATATTTACTAAGAAGAGACTTTAAGTTCAATGCTTTTTTTTATGATATATGAGTTTACTTTCCAATTCTCAGTCAATCCCAGTACTTTTGTAACCCTTAAATATTATGGTCACATTTTAAGATGTCAAAACGATGTAAATTGGTACATTTTACATATTTAGTTCCATTCAGTAATTGACAATTTGTGCAAAATTTAAAGTTTTTGCCCTTTGAATAGTGGCAGCTACAAACTGTAGAAACATTTGCCTCTGCTGCAAAATGTTGTATGAAGTTTTTTTTTTTTTTTCTATGAGGGTGTATAGACTTTAAAAAGGTAGTGATTGTGATTGGATGAGTAATAAATTTCATAGACAGAAGAAAAATTAAATTTCATGTTTAGACAACTTGCTGGTTACAAGTCAAAATACAAT